ATAGGTTTAAAATGTTTTTATATTTGGGATGTTATTCAAAAACTTAATTCTTAGATTGATCCCTAAAATATCCATAAAAGAAATCTTTGGATTGCCCTGTTCTGACCTGTTCTTGTATACTGTTTTCGGTTTGTGCCTTGAGAAACCATTATGTGTGAAGTTTTCAGTATCATGAAATGGCGTTATACGTTTTAGCAACTTTTATCTTCCAGTAGGGATAAGCACTTTATGATATTGAGTTTGGCACCTAATTACTATTTGTGCAGTTGAGAATGGCATACTCTTAGAACAAGATCAAAGTGGCAAAGTTCTGTTTGATAAGGAGAAACAGATGTGAGCCCTGTCTTTTAGAGTTGTTTCTGAGGACTTTGACAGGAGGTGTAACGCCTCCAATCTGTATCTTGTTTGATTGAAGTAGAATTTTACTGAACAATTTTGTGTCCTTACACCTGCAGTGGTCAGGTCAGCTTGTTTGAGGGGGAACCATTTCTACTAAGTAGAGAAGCAGAATGAATCCTGTGCACTTTATTGGATAACAGCTAATTCTTGAGAGCCATTCCTCTGTGCATTATAGGCTAGCTGATTTGTATTTGATCCTTACATCTTATGGATTAACTGTATTACAGTTTTTCTTTAGCTCTTAGCAGTAAGGAATCTTAGACCGAAATACTTTTTTCAGGTTACCTGCCTCTTTCCTCTCTTCCCCTGGATCATTATTTTCTTTCCATGTCTGTTTAAGGAAAGTTGCTTAGTATCAGCAAACAACACTGATATCAGACAGAAAGGTTGTGGGTACATGAGAAATGAAGTTCAGTTTTTCAGCTAGATAACTGTTTCTGCATTAGAAAACCACGTTCTCTCTTATCTCAAAACTGGAAAACATTCCTTGTAAGCTTTACTCGGTTTGCAGAAGGAGGGTTTTTTTTTTGTTCACCAAACATGAAAAAATGTTTACTGTAATATTTTAGCTGTTAAAACAAACCAAAACAAAAACCCTTGCTGGAATAAACTGATTCTTTCGTTTTAGTATTTTTCATAACATAGTTTTAGTTGCTTCTGTGCTAGCTGCTTGAAACAATAAAGCCAGCACTGAAAGAGCAAATCGGTGACCATGGTGCAAAAACAGTGTGTGTGCTTCTGAAATTGCCAAGACAGGGTTATCACACTTAGTAATAGAGGATGGTTTGTGTGTCTGGAGTAATAGAAAATGGTTTAAATTTAGTAATAAAAAATGGCTAAGTCACATACTCGAGTGCTAACAAGAATGCCAGGTATAACTAGACTGCTAATCAAAGTGAGGTGGTTGTTGCATGACCGAGAGATCCTGATCTGCTTCCTTCTCAGACGCTGTGGCTGTGTGCTAGTAACGTGATTCTGAGACATGCAGATGGTTTCTTAGCTTTTAGAAAAGATTGTCAGGGCCAGCCGGGAAAGAATTGGTTAATTTGCGTTTAGGGCGTGGTATATAGCTCTGATCATGCTAGCGCAGAAAAGATTGAGGCATTTGGAAAGAAAAGAACTAGTAGTGTGATCCCACTAAAATGGAACTTGCCTTCTTAAAGAAGAATGAAAGAGAACTTGGCAAAATAAGTCTTGAGAAGGAATAAAAATACTCTTGATAAGGGGTTAGGAAGTATACGGGAGAGAGAAGAACTAAAGTAAGGGATATGTAAAGGATCCCCATATAAGTAATCTAATAAATAAAATTTAGTAACAAATCTTATTTGAAAATCATAGGATGAGATCTTGAAATACCTTTATCAAATGAGAAATGGAGAGAAAGGAACTTAGTGTTTCAAGGTGATCTTTGGTACATTTATGTAAACGGTGGTAAGGAGAGAGCCTGGAGGTAGACATTCAGGAAGAGCATATGACATTTCGTGGTACTAAAATAACTGGAATCTCTGAGAAGGGGGATAAAGGAATTGGGAAAAGATTTGACTATTTATCATAATGTTTTTCATTTTACAAATCCTTTTCTTCACACCTTCTATTGGTAGCCTGCAGAGAACAGGAGGGAATAGTTATAATATATATTTTTTCCCCCTTCCTTGATGCATAATTTACGTTCTGGTGTTGCTTCCATCCTTTTGTGAAGCAGAGGCAATTTGCTATTGCCTGAAGGTGAGATTTGGAGTAAGGTGTTCTGGATTGTCCTGTGGTATTGGGAAAATTGTCCTGGCCTGCCATATGGGTCTAGTGTCCATGTTGAAAGTTAAAACCTTTTGCCTCAGTCAGGTGGGGCAGTGGGTGCTCGCTTTTTGCTTTCTCTCTATTTTCCTGAGGCCACGCTGGTATTTTCCTCTAACACGTGCTCTGTCGTTTCATCACATCTGTGATGTGGTTGGCATCGTTGGCATTCTGTTGTCTTGCTGTCATACATTCAAGTTTTATGTGTTTTTCAAATTCATTTAAATGTCATGAAAAGTATTAATGAAATGTTTTGGACTTTGTTTGAATGGGCTCTTGTAATGCAGGAGACTGGATTAAACAGTCTAGGTGGTATTGGACTCTTTTATGAAAGTATATATTTTTTTATATAGATATATCTATATATTCATATAAAAATAAGAGATAATGCCATGTTCATCCAGCAATTCAATGTTGAATCAGGAGTGTAATTAAAGTTTCCTATCTGTTAGGTCAGGTCATGACATTTATCTCCAAAAATATCTCTGTGAAAGGCAAAAGGGGCAGACTTATCTAGAAGGCACCAGTGTCTAATTAATCTAGTAATATTTATAAGTCTTGCTGAGGAGACTGAAAAACAAATGCAGAAACAGTAGTTGTAATTTTTATGTTATAAATAGACCTCAGTTGCCACAGATGCATTAGTGACATTAGGCTGGAAAATCATTAGTTTTTTTGGTAGTTCTTAATTTTTAAATGACTGGGAATAGGTTGAACTCCTCCCAACTTTCCTGGAAAGGTAATGGAACAGGTAATTG